TTGTAATGCTTTCTGCATTTTGCTTTAATGTAGATCAAGATGATTGTCTTAGCGCCCCCTGCCAGAATGGAGGCGTTTGCCAGGACCAAGTCAACAGTTACCTCTGTAGCTGCGCTCCTGGTTTTACTGGAACAAACTGCGACCAAGGTAACATTTCAAAAAGCATGATTTAATGAGTGTGGTGACGATGTGATAGTGGAATAAATGCTTGAATTAATGCGAATGCAGAAAATAACTGTATAAATGATTTGTCGCTCGCACCATGAAGTAAATCAATCAAAGTGTTAGCGTCTGAAAACAAAAATGCGCATTCAAATATGCATAGATTATAATTTTTTGCTGAAGGATGCACGTTTATGACGGCCCCTTGGCTCGTTCCGCTTAACCGGTGGTAGCCACTAAACTTGGTTGGTCTGTACATAACCTCGGTCCATAATTCATTTCTATTCATGTTTTATCTGTTGGTCTGAAATGCATGTTGCATTATAGCGCTCTGCCTTCTGGACGAAAAGGTTTATTTGTTTGTCCTGTGTACGTTGTGGGCCCCCTTTGCATATTAAAGAATGCACACTCTTCAGAAAACCGATATGAATCTCCTCCCAATGTACTGCTGAATTCACCACCATAAGGATCCCACCGGAAATAAGTCTTCCAAATTCTGTGGGTTATCCTTGGTGTGTGACTAACTCAAATGTGACCAACCTTAGATGTTAACGCATAACTACTTTTGAGTGAGTGGTTTGCTGTTTGATTAGAATAGGAAAAAAAATAATGAATTGTTTTCTTACGCTACAGACTATAATGAATGCTCCAGCTTCCCGTGCCAAAATGGTGGCGTCTGTACCGATGCGATTAATGGGTTCTTTTGCACCTGCCAGCCAGGATATAGCGGCACACGATGCGGTGAAGGTAAAAATGAACAAATATATTGTAATGGATGCTTCCAGAGTGTCGAAATGACTTAACAACTGACTGAGCATAATAGGGTGCCAATTCCAAATTGAATGATCAAAGGCGCTGAGCGTTATTACCCCTGGTCACCTGGTAACATACAAACAATGGCAAACCAGCACAAAGTGGAACATTCTCTGCTCCAGGGGAGTATACCAAGTGTCATGCACTTGTACTTAGTGCTCAAAACTAGTACATTCAATGCCACAACATCCTACCTGGTACCAATTAATATTCCTGAATAGAAAGAGATAAATGTAGATAAAGTGCCTTGCCCAAGGGCACAAGCGACCTGCACAGCGAGAGTTTCGAACCCCTGATCTCAAGGTTGGGAAATCAAGCCATAACCAATGTGCCAACCACTCCTACTATTCAAAGTACATATTCCAATTTCCATAAAATTTTCCAATTACAGATATAGATGAGTGTGCCAACCAGCCATGTCGTAATGGGGCTTTTTGTATTCAGAGTATTAACGACTACAGTTGTGTATGCGTCAATGGATGGAATGGCGAAAACTGTGAAAATGGTACAGTAGAGCTACATTAGTTTATTTCAGACTGGATTTTATCATCATATTTTTTCTATTAGTACTACGATAGATTTGATTATATTATTAATTAATTTAGTTCCTCCTCATAGAATCCAAATGGCACTATAAGAAGTTCTCAAAATATGATCTCTTCATGAAAACTTTCAAACCAATCAGAGCTTAGGAAGCAAACCAATGCTTTTGATGCAGATATAAATTTGCCAAGTGGAAAAGAGGCTTTACTTTGATGAACCGACTGTTGCCAAGTGACTGTTGCCAAGTGACTGTTGCCAAGTGTCCTTAATAGTAGAATTTACCTTTGAAAAATAAATTGAGTCAACAGTCCTAGTACTTTGTGTAATTGTTATGCATTATGTGATCATGCGAGTCGAAAAGCCGAGCGGTTAAGGCGAGAGCGTCGCAAGGTACAGTCATAAAATTATGCTTATGTGCACTTTGAAGAACCCAGTACATCTTTTGAGATGAGTAGGTGGTTACTCCTGTGTACTTGTTCATACAGCCCCTGTTGTGGACAGACAAGAATAGCTGGTACTGGTTAACAGGTAGCTTAGACATGTAGACACCCTTAGGGAAGAAGCAAGTTAGTGTATGAACTAATACACACCTCAAGCACTTTGACACTTCAATATAAAGCGCTATATAAACCCAACTACAGTACGTTACATTATCTTTTCTTAGAATGCCTGAGATACTTAAGTGTAGTGATTGAAAGCTCATGGGTTATTGGGCTCAAGTTTGTAACTACAAATATATATAATTTATTACTACCTAGATACACAGATCTTCTCAATTTTTACAATATTAATTATGATATAGTTTTTGAAAATATTAAAGAGTTCGTTTTATACTCTGTAGACATTAATGAATGTGCAAGCAATCCGTGTCAGAATGGTGGTGCGTGTGTCAATGGTGCGAACATGTTCACCTGTAGTTGTGTTACTGGATTTTCTGGAACCCTCTGTGAATCAGGTATGTAAAGTATCATCACATTGTGTCTTTGGTTTTTCAGAAATACACATTGAAAGATGATGATCATATTGATAGATGATGATAATATTGATGGAAGATGATCATATTGATAGATGATGATATTATTGATAGAAGATGATCATATTGAAAGATGATGATCATATTGATAAATGATGATAATATTGATGGAAGGTGATCATTGTTGATAGATGATGATCATTGTTGATAGAAGATAATCATATTGATAGATGATGATCATGTTGATAAATGATGATCATATTGATAGACAATGATCATATTGATATCATATTGAAATCTAAAGATCATATTTATGATAATTATATTTTTGAAGACGATAATCATATTCATATTTGATAATTTATTGAAAAGTGGTAATACAGTATAGAAAATGATATGAAAATGATATGAAATATCATAAAATAATGATTATATATGAAAAGATGACAATGATATTCATAGATAAAGATCAATTTTTTAAAATAATGATCATACTAAAAGTTGATGCTGGTTTTGAAAAATAATGATCGCTTTGATCATTGAAATATGATAATCATATCAAAAAATGGTAAATATATGGAATCAATGTCTTACTGAATCTTCCATACATTTTTAAGCACGACAGCACTAATGTTAATCATTCCAATTACTGGTAACTGATTTGTATTTTATACATTAGATGTAAATGACTGTAACCCGAATCCATGCCAGAACAGTGGTGTCTGTTTTGATGAGACTAATAGTTATCGATGCCAATGTCCCGTTGGGTTTACAGGCACCCATTGTGAACTGAGTAAGTACTGTATGACAATTTTCTGTAAATTGTCTATGTAAACAAATCTTGTGAAAATTCCTCTCAAAAGCAATATTACTTTGTTGTTAAAATGTATGTTATAAAAACAAGTCTACATTGTATCTTATCAACATTATGTGACAAATAATGTGATTTGCCCATATATGGCCATTAGTGGCGGATCCAGGAATTTTAAATAGAGGAGCCCAAAGAGGGACTTTTACAGGTGGAGGGTGTAAACTACCTCAGCCCCACCATGGGTGGGGCTGAGGTAAGAAATTTTATGATTATGGCACCTCTAGGTGGCAGGAAATGGCACTCTTAGTCTCAAAATTTGCATAGAATTTTCTTTTTTTCTCAAAATTTTTTTAAATGGGCCCCCCCCCCTTGAATCCATCTATGGCTATGATGATGTCATATGACACCCATATATGGGTATTTGTCTTGAAAGTGTGAAAAAAAGCTTCAGTGTACATTTTAATGCATAATTTTCTAAATGATTTATTAATAGCTCTTGGATGTAATCAAGAATACCAAATACCAAGTTGCGATAAGGTCACCATTACATCCCCGAATTATCCCGCCCCCTACGCCAACAACGCAAACTGTCTTTGGACTTTCACTGCAACGTCCAACACTCAGATCCGTGTCGTTTTTTCAACATTTGATGTTGAGGACGAACATGATTTTGTGAAAGTTGGAAACACAGTCACACCATTATCAACAAACGAGATTGTTACGTTAAGCGGGGACACGGTTCCACCGTCGTTTGTAAGCAGTGGCAACCAGCTGTGGATGACGTTTGTGACGGATTCCAATAAAGTGGAGAATGGTTTCTATGTTGAGATACAGGATACATGCTATGGTAATTGAATCAATCTTTATTTTTAAGATATATCATTGGCGAATTCCGGTATTTTGGGGTGGCCAGCATGCCCAGGGAAGAGATAAGGGGAAAAGTGTGAAGCTTGTTTTTCCGTAGGAAAATTTATTCCTGTGAATCGAAAGTGTTGGTTGATGCGCATGAGTATTCGCATTTCCATCGGAGTTTTTCACTTCAGTGAAATCAGTAGTTCGAACTAGTTTCTACTTTATTGCGAAGTGAGAAAGTGTGCAACTAATCAGAGCTCAGGGAGCGAACCAACGCTTTTGATTCGTGTGAATAAATCCGCTTAGTGGAAAACAGGCTTTAGAGTGTCCTTATATGGTCGTAATGTGATGTCATCATGACCATATTTAGGCATGTTTACATTTTTGTCCAAATAGAAATTAGGAGTCTGGAGAGGGCTTTTTGTGTACTGTTTTGTTGCTCTAAACAAATATTCAAAATTTCACAAATGCCTAGTTCAAAGTATATCTGAGAGCAGCTTAGCTCAGCCGGCTAAACTATTGGTAGCCACTGTTTGTGCACTGAACCGTGGGGATTTCTAGGTCCCCGGTTTTATTCCCATTGATGCTCTCCTTGTGTTCCAACTAGAGGGCTGAAATGCAAGCTATGAAAGCGCACCGTATTTCGGATGAGATGTTTAAGCCGTTAGGGGTGCGTGCATTATAGCTTGTATGCACGTTAAAGAACGCAGTACACTATTCGGAAAAGAGTAGGGGTTGTCTCCCGGTGTACTGCCCAATCAGCACAAGGAGGACCCCCACTGGAAATAAGTATTCTTTAGACTTTCGTGGGTTATCCTTGGTGTGTTTACCGAATAAATCCATCCATCCATCCATCCAAAATTGGAATGTGAACTGTGTCGATTTGTTTTTGAATTTCAGTGGAGAATCCCTGCAGTAACATGCCATGCTTGAATGGTGGTACGTGCCTCACCCTGACCCCAACGACCTTTTCATGTACCTGTGTCACTGGCTATTCTGGAGAATTCTGCCAAATTGGTAATTGGATCATTCTTGAATTTTGTTAATATTTCATTGATTATATAACTTGTTTCCCATATCATATCATCTTAATCTTCATCGTATCATTATTATCATCACTATCCTCATCACAATCAGCAACTTCCTTTTTATCATCATAGTCGTCATCACCATTATTATCTTCTCATTAGCATCATCTTTATCATGTCATCTTTTAATTATACATTACAGCACTTATATAGTGCTTTCAGGAAGATTAGTATCTCAAAGCGTGGACTAGCTCATACAGTAACGTTCTTCAATTACCACCATCAACTTTATTCATATTTATTTTTTTCACCATCAAGTTTATGTTGTCGTCATGATATTTTCTTGTCATCATATTAGCCTTGTCCATGTGTTATCATTCTTGATATTTTTTATCATCATCAATGTCATCAATATCATCATCATGTCATCTAACATAGCCATCATATTTATATTACCATTCTTAATTTTGTATCATCCTAATGTCGTCATTCTAATTTTGTCATTATGATCTGCTCATTGTCATACTTGTGCTCTTCTTTTCTTCATTGAAAATCAACATAATTGTCACCATTATCTTCATTATTATTATCACCACCACTAACATCTTCATCATCATCATCAACATCTTTATCATCACCATCATCATCATGTTCATCACCATCATCTTCATCATAATCATTATTACATTCCTTGTCATCATAACAATCATTCTTATTCTTCTTTTTTCTTCATTGAAAAAAATAAGTCAGTTAAATATATCTACTCCTAAATATTATCTTACTCATTATTATCATGAATAATAATTTCATTTTTTATTGCTAATATTGGAATCACTAGATCATCTTATTAGTTGCCTAATAAATTTGTGGTGGTATTTCATTCCATAGCTTGTGTAGCTGCACTCCTTAACATCATAATAATTAATAAAAATGTTTTTTTTTCTGCATAATCATAAATAATAATTTCTTTTTTTTTATTACTGTGTTATTGTAATCATTAGATCATTTAATTAGTTGCTTACATCCTTGCTTGTTCATATCATTGTTTTCATAGCACCATTACCATGCGCCTCTGCTCCATGTCAGAACGGTGGGCAGTGCACAGACAGTGGTGGCTCACTGCTCTGTTCTTGTCCAATAGGATTCAGTGGTTCTTTCTGTGAATCCACATGTAAGTTTTTTTCTGCTCATTTCTTTCCTATTGATCATCTTACTATGCTTAGCAACACTAACATATACACTGTTGAGAATGTGTGTAATAAGATTCTTACATTATATTGGTCCCTGCTTTAAATTCCACACTGTTTTTCTACTGAAGGACTAAAATACAAGTTTCGGTATCGCACCATTTTTTCAAATTTTCAAATTTTTCAAAATCAAAATCAGTTTCTTCATTGCTTTCAATTTTTTTTCAGCTGAAGGGCTAAAATGCAAGTTTCAGTAGTGCAGCATCTTTCAGAATTTTTTATCACACCTATATATGGGCATGAAGATGTCGTATCACAATCCAAATATGGGCAAATCACAAGGCCTCTTGTTAAAGCCTGGTTTTCATAAAATTACTACATGTTACAGCCAACAGATTTTGGCTACGTTGCTTGGTTTATCACAGGGACAGCTATGCACATGTAGCAATTGCAGTATCACTGTAGCGATAGTTGAGCAATTTTATGCAAACCAGGCGTAATCTAATTTACATTAGTGCAACCTTTCGATGTCATGCATTTTATATTCAATCTTATAACAATAATAATTGTTTAATAAATTCATTTATGGTTCTTTAATCCTATTTATTTATTAAACTCGTACATCAGTAAAGATTTTTTTTTTCAATGACTCGAGTTTTACATGCCAGCCTTGTAATTAATCAGCAGTTTTTTTATGATGTGATCGTGAGAGAACTACAGAGATACATCACCTTCAAAGAGTGTCTCTACTGTAAGGATATTTTTGGGAAGAATAAAATTTATTTGTTTAATTGTCGATTTTTATATTAATACTGTATAATCTTTTGTTAGCTTCTCCATGTGATGATAATCCATGCCTAAATGGTGGATTTTGCCAAGTATCTGGAAATTCCTACATATGCTCTTGTTCTGGAGATTTTACTGGAGATAACTGCGAGATACCAGGTAAGCTGGCTTCATAAGAACACTTTTATTGTATTTAACAGTTGAACATTTTGGATAATTTATTCAACTAAAATAATATATAAAAATAATAAATGATTATAATAAAATAAAATATATGTAAATTTATTACAAATTTTTAGTAATTTAAGAAATACCTTTATACATATTGGTCACATACATTGTATAAAATTTTTTAAATATTATATATAATTATTTGCCTAACCAGCTTCAAAATTTATTTAAAGCTGACATCTATCTACAATATTTATAAGAAGAATACTGTGTAATAGAAGAGATTGAAAAAAAGTTGTGGTGATATTATGACAAAGAATATTATGATTGTAATAATAGTAATGGTGATGATTAATGTAATACAATAGTTGGGTTAATGATGATTGAGACTTCCCATCCCAGAGCCAGCATACTATCGGTAAATGTTCAGTAATTAGCATAAGAATATGACGGTATTGTATACTTTAGTACAGAGAAGCAGTAATAGACGAATCCAAGAGAACTTTTTTGAACGTCGCCCTCTATTGTTGCCGCAAATACTGGGTTGGCACTTCCGAAGTTGGAAGATCTAATGTTGTGTTGTGTTTATCAACGCAGTACAGTAGTCGTTGAGAAATACGGTTTTCTTCGCCAGTACCAGCTGCATGATGCCGTCCGTTTATAATGCACCACACCGCATTGAAATTAGGAGTAGGGGACTCCCCAGTAATGGCGTCGACAAAAGAGGGCGCCATTCTTTTTGGATTCGTCTATACTTTTATTCATAGCTTTTGAAATAATAATTAATTACATCAAAATGATGGTAGAAATGTTTGTTGTGTGTTTTGTTTTTCAACATTAAAATGCTTATAATGTGGAGAATACGAAAATTTAAAAAAAGTCAATTTTATTGTGTTGTTTACTGAAGCTGGTTTTGGCATGGGGAAGCCCCAATTATGATGGTTATAATGTAATGTAGTGATCACAATAACAACAATATTATAAACATGATAATTATGATTGTGGGGATAAGAATGATGATAATGAAATATAATGATAGTAGTGGTAAAATGTTGATGATGGAATGATAGAGATTATGATAGTAGTGATAGTCATTGTAATAATGTCAATGATTATGATAGTGGAGATGATGATGATGATTATGATTATTATTGTGATAATAATAATGAAAGAAAAATCCTACTTTTCTAATACCGTCCCGATTCAGTGTCAGCATGCGATAGCTCACCGTGCCCTTCCACTCACCGTTGTGTAGCATCGGGCAACACTTATATCTGCCTTTGCAATACTGGGATTGGAACTGACTGCCTTTCAGGTAGAAACCCTGTAGGCTTCAGTCAGTTGTTGTCAGTGGCTTCAGATTGTAAAATGTTTAACTGTACATAGCTAGCTGTCCAGTGAAATATACTAATACTACAAACCTCACTAAAGGTCTGTCCACACTATCATATTTTATGTGACAAATCATCACACAAATTTGTCACATAAAATGTACAGTGTGGACAAAGTTTTATAATTTGGTAGCTTATAGAAAGCTGTTGGTGATTGTCATATGTTTTGAATATTGGAACATACAATATATTTCCATAGCATTAAATAATTTAAATGGGCCATATACATTTTTTTTTAATGAGACATACCAACAAACGTTGTGATTGTCACAAAAATTTTTATCAATGAAAAACAGAGATCAATATCATTTTTAATGAAAAAGACAATTAGCTTTTTGTTTTTTTAAGGCATGTTATATGCATGGGCCCAACTGTCTAACATCCTTTCTGAAGGATGAGGGATCAAGAATAAATAATTGCATGGGGGGTTTTGAACTTTGTCCTTTTCGCATTGTCATCAATTTAAAATTTACCCATTAACATTGATATTCATTATCATAAGTTATAGCTAAGATGTGCATAATATTGTGGCTTAAGACTTGCTTTATTATTGTCTGTTCAATGCTGTTGTGTTTATTGTCTTTACTCCAGCTGTTGCTGTGTGTGATAGTGCACCCTGTTTGAATGGGGGGACATGCACGCTTTCCGGAACAGCATTTATGTGTCAGTGTACCACAGGGTACTCTGGGACTACGTGTAGCATACAAGGTCTGTTGTGAATGAATGTTGTGTGCATGTTTCTACATGTGTTTGCATTTCTCTATTGTATTCACTGTGTTTGAGACCTTATCTAGCTTAGATTGACATTACTAGGCTTTTATATAGGCCTATGTTTCACTTCACTTTTCTCCATCATATTTCACCCAAATAATCATTTAAACTTGCATTCCATATCAATTTCATCCAACTATAAATTGCCTCTAATGTTTTCAGTTGTCTTTAAATTCATTTTTCTCATTTAGCCATTTACTTTTATAGTAATTCAATACCAAATAGAGTTCGCCCTTTTTTTAAACTATATTTTCAGAGGATGAACCTTGAAGCGAATGTGAGCTTATAAAGGAGTCCTAAATACATTAAAACAATGAAAACTAAGTCTCCATCATTTTGAGGACTTTAGAGAATGACGTTATTCAATAATTGTGAGAATACATCCTAACAGGATGGGATTTAAACCCAGGACCCTTAGATTGGAATACGACTTAGCTATTTTTTAAAAACCATATTTTTAGAGGGTAACCAAAATTCCAGAAGAAAGCATCAAAGAAAGTCTGAACAATACAGTACAAATTTGTCAATTTCCTTCTGCTGTCTGACCAGCTTTAAATACTTAGTTGCCAAGTTGTTTGTGAATGGTTGCCTTACATAATGTTAATGCTATAAAATGTTAGTGGAAATAGCAGTAACAAAATTAACTGATAACAAAAATGAAAATGTTAATTTAACGCAATTCAGTTCTTGTTCTTATTGTTTCCACTGTGTTTTGTTTGGTGGTGATAGAATTTGTGTAAAACCAGGGCGGCGATGAAGACGTTTCTACCAGGACCCTGTAGCGATAAATAATAGCTAAAAATAGCTCTTAAAAAGGCTAATAAATTACTTCTTAAATTATTAATGCCTTTGTTCAGTTTTATCTAATTCATATATGCTTGTGTTGATGCATGTCTTATGTTCTTTGTATTTACATTCATATTTCATGTTGTCTGTAATTGCATGTGTGCTTTTCTGTCTTTCTGCATGTACTGCATCTGAATGGTATTTGAGGTTGGATTATCAAAGCTATAGTCGTAGGCCAGCTTTTTGCTATAAATACTAATGTAGTGGTAGACTTGAATTATTTGTAATTTATAATTTTCATTTTTTCTTTCACTAACTCTGATGTATAATTCATTTTAGTAATAACGTTATTTCAAAAGTTAACAGTGTTTACTAATCATTGACAAGTCATTTTTGGATTTGTGACCATCAGGGGTGGTGCCAGTCTGGCCAGGGGCCCAGGGCCCCTGTAGTAAAAAACTCCCCTCCCCTGTCAACACGGTCGGGGAAATTATATGTATTTTCCACATATTAGTAAACTCTCTATAAAATTGATTAAATAAGCCTTTTAAACCTCAAAGTTGTCATATTTTTTCGGGACTTCGCTTCTTCCACATTTTATACACTTTGAGTGACACCCTACTACGCCTACTTTGCTCTCCCATCGGACAAATCTTGGCGCCACCCCTGTGTCCATTCCTACATGTAACATCTTGTTTATCAAAATCCTCATCAAGTGTCATCATTGTCTTCATTAGCTTTTCTCACTTTAAGGCCAAATAAAATAAATTGTTTGTTTGCCCTTCTTTTTTTAAAATTGATAAATAGGGGGGAGCGGGGGAGCGGGGGGTGGAAAAAGTTTTTATTTATTTATTCTTTTTTTCAAATGCTCATCAGATGGAATAAAAATAACCTACAGAGGCATAGAATAGCAATATCTTACATCAGACAACAACTTTAGACTAATTTGTAGGGCATCTGGCAAAAAATAAACATAAATTCACTCACATAAGAAAAAAAAAACTTTTTAAAATTTTTTTGTTTTTCTGCCCTATTTTTTTTAGTGAGTTAGGGGTGGGTGGAGGAGGACAAACAAACAATTTTTCTTTTTTTGGCCTAATTACCGCCAGAGTTCTTTGTTATCAAAGTCAAGTTATCATCATCATCATCATCATCATCGGTGTCTTAATCATACCATCATTACAATCATCCATTATCGTCATAATCATTATCACATCAGTCCCGTCTTAATAGTCATATGTGGCAAAGACAAGCCAAACCAGTCACTCCTTGCTAAAAATTGATGAGTTATTAATATAGGGTTAACTGTAAAATGAAAGTTATAAAATGGTAAAAGAATCATTTAAATCTGATGCTTCGTTGTTACGTTACAGGAGTTTAAACACACTGTTGCTTTAAGCCTGTTTTCCACTAGGCGAGTTTATTCGTGCGAATCGAAAGCGTCAGTTCATGCAGCATGTGCATATTCATTTCTATCGGAGGTTTTCATATCAGCGAAATCAGTAGTTCGAACAGTCTCCACTTTTTGCGAGCAAAAAAATGTGCAAATAATCAAAGCTCAGGTAGTGAACCAACGCTTTTGATTTGTGCGATCAAATTCGCCTAGTGGAAAACAGGATTAAAGAACAATATTTGAGAAATCAGCAGTCAAAGTTTATGATTTTGTGGAATTCTCAGGCAGAGACCATCACCAAAATTTGTTATAAAAAATATTAAAAATGGGAAAAAATATAGATAGATATTAAAAGGTTAGTTTTATCATTCAATAAAATAGGTTTCAAAAATGTTGATATTTTAACATGTTTTTGCCATTATCTCAGAAAGTCAATTTGCGAGGAGTGACTGGTTGGGCTTGTCTTCGCCACTTATCATTTATTGTTATTGTTTAATTCACATCATATCAAATTTATTATCATCATTTATCATTGTTTGCATCAGCTTGATCACATTGTCATCATTATCATTATCCTAAATATAATCAAAATATTTTCATTGACATTAACATCATTGTGATTGTCATAATGGTCATCGACAGCATTGTCATCTACATCATGGCGTATTGTCATCATCATCTTCAGTTATCATATTTACATTATTTATATCATAAACATGCATCAGTCACCTATAAAGCTTGGTTTACTTTAAAATCGATACACACTCGCTACAATGTTTCCAGTGCAATTGTTGTACTGCGTACAGTAGCAGTCTCCGACACAATTGGGAAGACTCCTTGGTTCGACCAACCAATCAGTATCCTTGAAAGTTGTCAGTGATAGCATGCAGCGATTGTATGGAAACCAGTCTTAACCCATGTCATCATATATCATTCAAATAATTTTTTAATTTTCAATCTTACTTTAACATTTATTTTTGTTTATTTATAGCTGATTTGTGTAATCCTGACCCTTGCCAAAATGGAGGTTACTGTAATGATAATGGAGATGACACGTACTCCTGCACATGCCCAGCTGCCTACAGTGGCAAAAATTGTGAGACCTTTGGTAAGTATACAATTAAACCTGTCTGTCTTTTTGTAGTAGGATTACACAAATACTAAATGAATGGAACATCCAAGAATTTAGTGGAGTGGACGAGGTGATTAAAGTTTGGGTTGGAAAAATCAAAACTGATTTTCAAGATCATGAAAAATGCTAAAAATGGTCTTGAAACTTCTCTCAAGTATAAAAAAAAGATAAGAAATAGCCTATCTCACCCGTGAATGGCTTGCATGTATTATTCAGTATTCAGGCCAGGTACAAGGTGGAGGTATACCATTGGGTGATTACTCTAGGTTCAAATCAATATCAATACCTTTATTATGGAATAGCAACATACAAAAGCCTAATGTTGACTGCCAGACCTTTTTTTATAGGTTTTGTCCAACGTGCCAAAACAAGTATAACAAACATACTTTTTGGACCTTTTACCTAGTCATATATCATCAAAATAGAATCATTTAATTAATTGACAGGAAAATATTAGGGTGGAGTAAACTCGTCACCGGTAGTGGAACAGTACTTTTTATTGCCTTTGTCAAGTACGAGTTTTCACCTTTTGCTTTTTGCATGGGCTGGTATATGTTCAGAGGGGCGCCCCCGCTAGTGCAGTTGAGTGTACTGCAGTATAACACAACGAACATACATACATTATTTGCAAGTTATCTAGGTGTATCTTCCCTGAACTATCAGCCATTACGTCTGTGGTTCTACAATGTATAAAAATAATTAAGTAATGAACGCTAGAATGTTACACCAGTTTTGAGTATAGTATAGTATAGTTGCCATTAGCGCTCTCAACAACACCCTTAGGGACGGGTATGATTGTGGCACCACCTCTAGATGACCCGCAAATCTCAGATTTAAATTTTAATATAATTTTTTCCGGCCCCCCTCTCCCCCCTCCCCTACCACACACATTTGAATCCACCAATTCGTATTTAGGTACTACCCTGTTATAAATGTACCTCCATTTCAGGATGCACTGGCAACCCTTGTATGAACGGAGGAACTTGTAGCGATGCAGGTGGTGTCATTACGTGTTCTTGTGCAAGTGGCTGGGCCGGAGACTTTTGTTCAGATGACGTTAATGAGTGCCTGACTTCGCCTTGTTTAAATGGAGGCATCTGCTCGAATCAAGATGGTAGCTACCTTTGTGATTGCAGTAATATTCCATATGATGGTGTCAACTGCGAAATTGGTAAAATTTATATTTTTTATTTCTTTGTATCTGTTATTTTTTATTCTTTCTTTGAAGTATTTTACATTTTTAAATTTTTAATTGCTTTTTCCTTACCTTTCTTATCAATGTGGGAAATTTTTCTTTTTAAATTCTCATAATGGAGCCTTCAGAAATGGTCACATGTTTAGAAGTTAATAGATTTTAATTGTTTTGATTTTAAACTATCTGAATGTTAATTTACTTTTCTTTTTGTCATTCTTGAATTTTAAATTTATTTATTTAGCATTCAGAAATACCCTGGTGGTGTTCTATTAGATGGACAAAAAAAATTGATTTGCTCTGCGAAAAATGATCTTAAATTAAATAAACTAAAAAAAAATCTTTGAATAAAATACAAAACAAAAAAAAGCTATTCCAATATTTTAACTATATATATATATGTATATGTGTGTGTATATATATGTATATATTTCTTTATATATATGTGTATATATATATATATATTTATATATATATATGTTTATAGCTGATCTGACATTTTATATTAGTATATTTCTATTTTCAATATTGTAATTTTATTGTTTATGCATTGAATCTGCATGATTGGTTTCTTCCACTTTTTTTTTAATGTGTTGTATTTCTAGGCTTATGTACACTGCAACCTTGCCAAAACATGGGCACATGCTACTCTTCTGCCTCAGGTAACTCCTACCTTTGCGAGTGTATCACTGGTTATTCTGGTACAAATTGTGAGGTTCCTCCAGGTGCGAATTCATTATTTTTTGGTGTTAATTTGCTTTTTTTTAATTTACAATGATAATTGTGTGCTCTGTATTTGCTATTGATTATTGTAATTGTGTGCTGTGTATTTGTTAATCACTGTATATACTCGCGTATAAGATGACCCCAGAGTTTGAGAACATTTTTGGACGATTTTTGTGTGTCGGTGCATATAAGACGAATCTGTCTCATGGTCATTTATTTTTTTTCTGTTTTTTTTATTGTCTTAGCTGGCTTAAAATGAAGCCAATTGAGAGGCTAACCTCATAATACAATTTTACGAGTTTTTAAATGTTCATCAAAATTTATTTTCCCCGTATTTAAATTTTTATTCATTTATACTAACATTAGTAGCTTCATTACAGTAGTAAATTCGTGTGTTACCGACGATCCGCACAAAAGACGAACATGATTTAAAAAAATCATTTGTATGTTGTGCGTTTTTCAATTGTAATTTGATATTTTAAGCCTTGTCTTATACGCGAGTATATACGGTAATGTAGTTGTAGTAGGAGCTGTTGTTATGGTTCTTTTTGGAACTTTTGGTAATTTGAATTGTTGTGATGATGACAGTAAATTTATTAAGCTGTAAAGTTGTAATTAAGTTACCACCATTAATTTTATTAACAGTAATTGTATTCAGCTACAATAAATGTAAAAATTTAATGTTTCTATAAGCAGTTTCATTGTTAGCCTGTATGATATGACCTTTGACATTATCGTAATGGTAATCAGAATGTCTTGGGTGCAAATCTTATTGGGATCATTTTTTTTTTACTATAGTAGATTTTATTACCACCTGTAATTTTTACCATGAAGGTGTTTCTTTATACCAAAGTAATTATCATATGACATGTCATTATTCATTACCAGTGGTGTATCTGGATAGGGTGTGGCCTCCCCCCCCCCCCAAAAAAAAAATTTTAGACAAGTTTCTTTTGGCATTTGTTTAAATTATTGGTAAAAGTAACGATTCTTGCAAAACTTTCTAATAATAAATTTGAATTTAATGTTACGATTATTATCATCTATCTACTTGAGGTGACTTTTTATGCAGTTTAAGAAAGCGCAAGCGAAGTTAATTGTGTTGTTATGGATCGACGTCACTATAACAACACGACTTCGCTCACGCTTTTGAAAACTGCATAAACATTCACGCCTAGTGGTTAAATTTAAATTTATTATTGAAAGTTATTGAAGAATCGTTATCTTAAACTTTATTTTAAACAAATGCCAAAAGAAAGTTTTCTAAACTGGTACGTCACTTAGGCCCTCCAACATGGCGTCAGAGGCCTCACTTTTTTCTGTACTGATGAGCAATCCAGCTATTATAGTAGAGATCAGTGGTTTTTATGGTGGTGTTTTGTCTACCTTAGCAACAATATCCAAGAGGGCGGGGCTTAGCAGAAATTTGATTGTCATCAGTGACGGTACTCTCCCACAAAGTTTTTTTTTGATGGTATTCATTTTTAGTACGTATCATAAAAGTTATAGTGTTTATTATAGTAGGGAGCTTTTGATTTCACGACGATGGTAGGACGTACAACATAGAAATGACGTCACTAAAAGTTATCTGCACATGCAAGAATTGTAAGTTCCTCTCATCGCGTGGATTTTATGACGCAATTTGCCAAAATCTATGCATGCAAAAAACGTAGGACGCCTGGTACAGTAGGAAGATCACGCATGAGTGATTCCGTTCTAGCGTCGCGTCGTCGCGCAAATTAAAAGCTCTCTAATGATGCAATGATAGACATTGAGTTTTTGATATCAGAATTTGTCTTTAACCGTTAGGATGCACTGAAAATCCTTGTTTGAATGGTGGCACGTGCACCTCCAATGAAGTCTGTAATTGTACTCCAGCCTGGCAAGGCGCTACATGTGCCGAGGATGTCAATGAATGCATCGATAAACCTTGTCTCAATGATGGAGTCTGTAGCAACACTATTGGGGCGTATGAATGCAGCTGCAGTGCTGAATACCAAGGGCAGAATTGCGGACAAGGTATTACAATACGATATGATAGCAAAACCATACAATATTGCAACGGTCGTCCAAGTTATTATCTAAAGTGGTGATGATGTCGGAAATGGTGTTGATGGAAGCTGGTATATTAATGGTGTTGAGGATGATATTATGTGAATTATTAATGATGAATCATAAGGATTATTGATTTATGGTGATGAAGTTGATGGTGACCAATTGTTGAGCTCAGTTGGCTAAACTGGTAGTAAGCACTATGTATGCGCTGAATTGAGAGATCTCTTGCTCACCTGTTTAGTAATTCCCATCACTGCTCTCCTAGTATTTGAGCTGGAGGGCTGAAATACAAGTTACAACAGCCCACCACTAGGAAAAGTTGTTTTTTTTTTTTTTTTTTTTTTTTGTTTTTTTAATTTTTTAATACCAATGTGTTTATGCCTAAAGAGTAGAAAATACACACGAATACAACAGAGACCATTTTTAATTCTGTTGAATTGCAAAACGCTGTCACATTGCCTACCAACCAGCAAGACCTATTCCAGCCTTTTTAGCTCATTAAAAATATAAAAAATACAAATTAAAAAAAATAAAGTGCCGAACCTCAATTCTGTACATTTTGGGTCGGTTGGGCTTTGCCAACACCATGTTTTTTTTATTTAGACTTCGAGATAAGAAGGTTCTATAGAATGATGATATCCCGATTGACTTAAAATAGCAAAATAATGGATGCTCTAAAAACAAATGTGGCAAAGACAAGCCAAACCAGTCACTCGTCGCAAAAATCGATTTTGAGTTATTAATACAGTGTAAAAGAGTAAAATAATAGCTATAAAATGGTAAAAAAATCATTCAAATCGGACATTTCCTTATGAAGTTACAAGCATTTAACCACACAGCTGGTTAAAGAACAATATATGAGAAATTAGCCGTCAAAGTTTATGATTTCAGGCATTTCTCATGCAGAAACTATCTTTAAATCCTTAAAAAGTATTGTTTTAACATTGAAAATGGGGAAAATAAACAGCATAGCATGATATAAAGGTTAGTTTAGTGCAATAAAATAGATTTTTTAAAATTTGACATTCCAGCATGTTTTGGCCATTTTCTCTGAAACACGATTTGCGACGAGTGACTGGTTTGGCTTGTCTTTGCCACAGACATTGCAGTATTCTTCATTAGTATAAATGATTACAAAATTTGTAACATTTGTGCTGGATGATTATTAGAAATGTTCTCTTTTATAGCTGCAAGTACGAGTAACAGTACTCTTGATGATACTGACATCATCATCATTGTCGGAGCCATTCTTGGATTTATTGTCCTGCTAGTGGTAGCAGTAACCCTCTATTATTGCCTCTCACCAAAGTAAGCATGACTGCCTATGTTGTTCATATTGTCATCATTATTATCATTAATATTATTGTAATGTGTTACACGTACGTACCCTATTTGTGTTCATGTTTCTGCAAATGACAATTCAATAAGTGACACCTCATGTCAGCATTCATAAACTATATAGTTAAAGTATAGCAGGATAATATATTAATACAACATTGATATAAACACTTTCTGAATAACAGCAACTTTAGCTGTTTAAATTCAAATAGATGTCATTAAAGGCATATGACATTAACAACTGAATCTGATAGACAAAATGACAGTTTT